ACAATAAACGTAGAAAAGAGCAAATTTTGTTACAAAGAAGTCAAGTACCTAGGGTTCATAGTAGGCGACGGGTGTTTGCGAACCGATAAAGGTAAAATCACCGCTATGGAAGAATTCCCTGAACCAAAGACCCCAAGGCAATTGCGTCGATTTCTAGGTATGACAGGGTGGTATCGGAGGTTCATAAAAGATTATGCCACAATAGCTGCACCCCTACATGAGTGTCTTACAAAGCCGAATATAAAAAAATTCATACTGTCAGATGAAGCCAGACAGGCGTTTCAGGCGCTCAAAACTAAGTTGTCAACAGCACCAGTGCTCACTAATCCGGACTTCACAAAAAGATTTTACGTACAATGTGATGCGTCAAAGGAAGGAGTGGGTGGAGTGCTATTTCAGAAAGATGATTTTGGTGATGAACGACCCATTGCATACATGTCTGCGAAGCTCAACCGAGCTCAGCGAAATTACAGTGTAACGGAATTAGAATGCTACGCGGCCGTATTAAGTATAAAGAAATTTCGGGCCTATATAGAGGGCTTACCGTTTACTGTAATAACTGATCATGCAAGCTTAAAATGGCTAATGCAACTCAAAGATCTAACAGGAAGACTAGCTAGATGGAGCCTCAAACTTCAGGCCTTTGACTTCAGTATTGAGCATCGTAAGGGGGCACAGAATATTGTACCTGATACGTTATCACGAGCGCATTTGGAAGAAGTAATAGTGGAGAGGGTAGAGTTGGGGGTAGATTTAAGTTCGCAATTTTTCAAGTCAGATGAGTATTTACAACTCATAAAAAAAATAGTTGCGGACCAAGAAAAACTGCCAGACCTAACGGTCTCTGAAGGGTTCGTGTACAAGCGTCTAGATTTTAATACGGATGGCTTAATTCAGGAAGATAGGGCATGGAAACTGTGGGTTCCGACCGAGTTACGAAAAGAACTTTTAGAATCCGCACATTCTTCTCCTTCAGCAGGACATGGAGGAGTACACAAAACTATTGCAAGATTAAGATCTAATTACTATTGGCCTGGAATGGTAGTTGAGGTACAATCTTTCATTAAGAACTGTGATATATGCAACACCAGTAAAGCTTCAAATAAAATGTGTAGACCGTTGATGGGTGCACAGCACATCACTGAGAGAGCGTTCCAAAGACTATATATCGACTTCATGGGACCATATCCACGATCCTCGGACGGGAACACGATGTTATTTGTATGTTTGGATCACTTTACGAAATTTATTTTCTTAAAGCCAATGAAAGCAGCCACAGCCGCTAAGGTGACTCAATACCTTGAAAACGACATCTTTCATGTGTTTGGGGTACCTGAGTACATTCATAGTGATAATGGTAAACAATTCATAGCAGAAAAATTTAAGGACTTGCTCTTGAAGTATGGAATCACACATGTCAAAACGGGCTTTTACGCTCCACAGGCAAATGCAGCTGAAAGGGTAAACCGCAGTGTGCTCCAAATTTTACGATCTTTCATAACTCAGGATCAGAAGACCTGGGATCGCCATGTCAGTGAGGCAGCATGGGCGCTCCGGAGTGTAATACATAGCGCGATTGGGATAGAACCTTACTATGCCTTATTTGGAACTCAGATGATGCTGCATGGTAATTCCTACAAGGTGATGCGAAATATTGCTACCGTAAAAACAGGTGATTTTTCTGTAATGATGACGTCTGATCGGCAACAGTTACTAAGAGAAAAGATAGTGCATGAACTCAAATTGGCTCATCAAAGGGCCGAAAAGGTGTATAACACAAGGAGTAAGCCAATTTCTTTTAAAGAGGGACAAATGGTATATAGAAGGAATTTTAGACAAAGCAATGCAGCCGAAAGTTATAATGCAAAACTAGCTAAAAAAAATATTAAATGTATTATTCAAAAAAATGTAGGCAATTCCCTATATACCTTAAAAGGGTTGGATGGTAAGGATATGGGCACGTACCACGCTAAAGATATTTATCTAGTGTAGCTCTTAGGAATCATAGATGTAATAATTTTGTTTATAAGCCAGAAACACTTGATAGTAACATTTTTATTGATTTTTTTTTTACCAATTATTACTAAATATAATTGACTAGAAATAATTAGGTAAAGTTACGAAAAGAAATAGCTAGTAAGTTTGGACCAACGATTAGGTATTTAGTAAATATATCTATTTAGGCTCAGATGTTTGACAAAGATATGTTAGAGCATTTTTATTATTATCTATGTCAATAGTTAGTTTAGTCTTAGTCTCTTTTAATTCGTCCTTTTGTGATATAATATCAATTTCGGTAGTTTTGGCCGGTTAACTCAGTCAGTAGAGCATGAGACTCTAACATAGGGCGTGGGTCGAAGCCACACGTTGGGAACATAAACAAGGGTGAAATAAAGTATTGAGATCGACGGCCTACACAGAAAATTTTTCTACGAAGACGCTCCATATCGCAGGCGACATCGGCAGCTTCGATCCTGTTGTGTATGCCTGTGTGAGTAGGAGGTGATAGGCTAACATGAGTAAGAAAATTAAAAACATGATATTACCTCGCATGTCCCACGTTGTCCAGGCAGTCTCAGTGCAGCACCTGCTTGTCTCACGGTGATTCCTTTGGTAAAGTGAGCATGCACTTCCTTGTCCAAATTCGCGGCAGTAATATTTTATTGACACACCGTCTACTCATTTTTTTATTTATTTTTATTTTTATTTTTTTATAAATTAAAATTAGCCTGTGCATTGCACGCACAGCGAAATGTCAAAATTTGCAAGAAAGAAAAAAAGAAAAAAAAGCTTTTGTACATTTTTTTTGTTTTCTTTTGTTTTGATCAAGAGTCGCGGCGAAAAGTTTGGCCAAATTGGAAGTTGAAATGATCAATGCTGCCAGAGCAATGTGTAATGCAAGTATTGAAATAAGATAAAAAGAAAAAAAAAGTGTTCGGAAGGTGGAAAGAAAAATAACATTAACTGGAGGTTCAAGGAACGACCCCGAAAAGTGTACGGGATGAGTGTCCAACGGATTAAATTACGGGAGGAGAATGATATAAGATAGAGATATTGGTTGCAGTTTTTTTTTTGGAAAAAGGAAGTCTTGGGAAGAAGACGGTTGATGTCCGCGAGCGACGTGAAAAATTTGAGACGATATATTGAAAAATTAATTAAAGTGAACATTTAAAATTAACTATTATTAATACAAAAAAATAATTAAAGTGAATAAAAAAAAAAAAAAAAAAAATATTTTTACAAATCGGAGGTTTAAATGATCAAAACTTTGAATAAATTGATGATCGAAAAAAAAAATTCAAATAAATATAACATATCGGTGAAACTTGGATTTAACAACCTAACAAGCCGTATTATATGTGTAATAAATCAAGTCCAATAAGGATTGATAAGCATATGGAATTAGCCATATATAAATATAACATATCGGTGAAACTTTGATTTAACAACCTAATAAGCCGTATTATAAGTGTAATAAATCAAGTCCAATAAGGATTGATAAGCATATGGAATTAGCCATATATAAATATAACCTGTCGTTGAAACTTGGATTTAACAACCTAACAAGCCGTATTATATGTGTAATAAATCAAGTCCAATAAGGATTGATAAGCATATGGAATTAGCCATATATAAATATAACATATCGGTGAAACTTTGATTTAACAACCTAATAAGCCGTATTATAAGTGTAATAAATCAAGTCCAATAAGGATTGATAAGCATATGGAATTAGCCATATATAAATATAACCTGTCGGTGAAACTTGGATTTAACAACCTAACAAGCCGTATTATATGTGTAATAAGTCCAGTTCAATAAGGAGTGATAAACATATGGAATTAGCCCTAGGACTCACTGCAAGTACATCTAACAGCAACTGGTACGGTAAGCTACCCTTACAGTTGTAGAATAGCAACGGAGAATACTAAGACCGCGCGGAAGTGCTACAGGATATGATTTTTTTTTTACGTTAATGCTTATGATTAAATTAATTAAATTCATTAAATTCATTTAAACAATAAATTATATTATGCTTACTCAGTTGTTCAATTACCTATGACTAATTGCCGTCTATAATGTCTTACAATTTTTTTTAAATATTCAATCTCATATTTTTTTTGTTTCTAAATTAAAAAAAAAAAAAAAATTTTTTTCTCCAACTTATTTTAATAATTTGAATTTTTTTATATATATACATTAAGTTTTTTTTTATTAATTTTCTTGAATTAATTAGTTCTATTTATGAAATTATTAGTAGAAATAATATTCATTGTTAATTTATTTTGGATATGATATTAGTCACGCAAGATTAGAATATATACATTTTTTTTTACTTTAAATGATGTACATATATTATAAGTGATCAAGCACATCAGGTGTCTTTGTTTTGTTGTTTTTTTCTTTGATTATCCACAATTTGTTTTTTTAATTTTTTTGTAGCTATTTAGGTCAGCAACGCGGAGTGACGTCACTGCTACGATGTTGGTAAGAGTAATCAAAGTAATTAAAATATTGGTAGTCTAAATGTAAAAAAAAAAAAAAAAAAAAAAGGAAAAAAAAAACAAAACAACAAGTTGATGTATAGAAAGCTATTTTTTTATTCTCGTTATATTTATCTATTTTCTTATTATAAATATATTATGGATATACATATAGTTGTGCATTAAATAGTAAGAGTAGATTGTAAGTTTTTTTATTATGAATACATTATGTATATATATATATATATTCTTTTGTATTTTTTTTATTTGAAGAGAATTTTGCTTAGTGTAAATTATAAGCGTTTTTATAATTGGGTTTTATGATCTTTATTTCAATTTCTTTAACACAATGTAAATTATAAACGTTTT